ATTCACCTACCAGCATGTCTTTTGGAGTGTGGGAGGAAACCAGAGTACCCAGAGGAAACCCATGCAGGCACAGGGAGAACATACAAACTCTAGGCAGAAGGTACTGTGGCTGGGATTTGAACCAATGACCCTAGTACTGCCAGGTACTGTGCTAACCATTTAGCCACTGTGCTGCCCTAAAACATAAAAAAAAGACTTTACTACTACTTTAAGTCTGCAGTTTCATTAAAATAATCCCTGGTGATCTGCCATAAGGTCTTTGCTCAAACACTTCCCTGTTATAGGATGACAACGCTCTGTCTCGGTCTCCCAGTTGTTCTCCTTTGTTGTCACCCTGTTACATGGGCTTCTGATGAAGACTGCTAGTGGCCAGTTCAACACACATTACACAGGTATGGTCCACGGTTGTCACCCTCAGGAAACCTAAGAAATGACATACAGTCTTTGCTGGAGTGCATGTAGACAGGAAGTATCTGCAAAGCAGCTGTGGGAGATGAGCAGCAGTGAGATGTAACAAAGGAGGGCAAAAGTGAAAATAGGATTTTATTTTTTTAAAATGGTAATTGTTTATGATACATAGAGCACAGAGCAAACTCCGTGTCCACCCGTTAGGGTGCCATACACCATTACACACACAAACTGAAGGCAGTGCTTGTTGAGGGGGCTCAGTGCATCTCTGCCTCGGAATTACTTCGACTTCAGGGAGTCAGGCAATGTCAGCCTGGGCTGCAAGCTGTAACATTAGCTAGGACAGTTTCCCCTTTAACTATACATTAGTGACAGATGGCGTCCCTCCACATCCAGGGCTGGTGCAAGCATTCAATTATTGAGCGTTGTGGATGGGAGCTGCTGTGCCTCCATTGTTTCCTGTGCAGACAATTGGCAGAAGAAGCCATATTACAGACTCCCCTCCCTGAAGATGCTGAGATGCTGGAAAATCCTGCCATCAAAGCAGGATGCGGCACAGCCGGGAGAGAGCGCCAGTCTCTGGAGTGGGAGAACCTGTTCTGCAGACACCAGGCAGAGTTTGGTCAGAAATAAGTGGAGGTCAGGGGGGCTACAGACATGGCTTCACCTAAAGAGATGCTCAAAGTGATCCTCCAGCCATTGTCTGATTATTCATTACAGAAGAACTCCAGTCAAACAGCTAATTACAGAGAGGGGTCTTTTATTTATTTTATTTATTATTATTTATTTCAGGTACTTATATAGCAATGTCAATTTATGCAGTGCTTTACATATATATTGTACATTCCCATCAGTCCCTAACCCTCAAGGGGTGTACAATCTAAGGTCCCTAACTCACACTCATACATACACATACTAGGGCCAATTTAGACAGGAGCCAATTAACCTACCAGCATGTCTTTGGGGTGTGGGAGGAAACCGGAGTACCCAGAGGAAACCCACACAGGCACACGGAGAACATGCAAACTCCAGGCAGGTGGTGCCGTGGTTGGGATTCGAACCGACGACCCGGGTACTGCCAGGGTGGAAGTTCTCAATGTTATTAATGTTTTCACCCAATATTCACACAAGACATGCTCATAGGGTAACTGGCTCCTGTCTAAGGTTCACACTTATACGCTTTTCTGTAAATCTTGGAGTTTTGCAGAAACGTATATGGTTTTCTATGGGTCACACTCACATCTGTGCGTTTTCTACCAGTGCATTTTTTGGAAAGGGTCTTGACTCTTTTTTTCCCGCTGCAGGTTGCGTTTTTGGTTCCATAAACTTCAATAGAAACGCATCAAAAACACAGTGCTTGCTTTTCTGCTGGTTTCTCCTGCAGACACCTCCCAAAAATGCAAAATGAATCAAAAATGCATTGCATGTATAAAAAAAAAAAGGCAAAAAACGCATCAACCGCAACCTGCATAGGTATAGACCATGCCTGAATTGGCCCATAATTTGTGTTGTATATGAATGTGAGAGGGGAAGCTAAGAGTGAAGGCAGGGACTGAGATGAATGTACAGTATGGAAAGCACTGTGTAAATTCAGTCTTCACAGGACTGAGATTGAGCTCTGCAGTCACTTTTGCAGCAGTTGTTTTCTCATTCCAGGTCACAGTCCTGCGCAATGTCCTTTTGTTTCTTTCGGTCAGTTGACCATGGTGACTACGCTAATGCTTATCAGACAACGTCTTCCCGGAAACTGTATATACCGTCATAACCTTTAATACTGTACCTCGTGACACGGCAAATAAATTGCCAACTTCACTCACAGAGGCACCAGCTAAGCGGCACCAACAATTTGCCCTCTTTGAAGCTCGGTAAGCTCTGACATGACTCCATATTACTAGTAGTGAATGATGAAAGCGAGTCTTCCCACCTGTTAGGTGTCTCATCACACAGCGGAAGTAAAAGAATGTTACATCACTTCCACTATTAACATGAAACATCACTTTTACACCTGCAAATCATGTAGTGTTTCCATTTTTTTGTCTAACCCCTGTATATGCTCTTTGGACAATGACTAGGCACCTTTACACTGCTGAAATCCTCCCTTCCTTCCTCCTCCTGTAAGTTGCCTGTGATCAAAGTTGACCTATCGGTAACTATGCGAGTTTATATGAATACATTCCTGATATGTCAAAATATACAGCAACAGTATCATGTTTCAAAGAAGCTGAACCTTTTTTTTTCATTAAAAGCCTTTTTAGTTTCAGTAAGTGACTTTGCCTAGGCCGAGATGATGTCATCAGTCTGCTGCAGGCGGGAGGAAGCATTTCCTCAGTCTCCTTTCCCCCAGTGATCAGACTGTACATTGTAACTTTGAAGCAAATCACAAGGTTAAAGTCCACAGTAGGGACTGATCTGTGTCAGTCTTTGTATACACACCCAAATTTTACATTACTAAGCCTGCTGCACTTAAAGCAGAATTGAAGGAACATTTTTTGTTGCCTGTGCAGTGGGCTGTGCTAGGGTTAAATGCTTGTTTTGTTCTAGGGTAGAGGACACTGAAGACATACTGATCCTTTCGGCTGAAACCCCCCCCCCACCGCAGTCCAGTGGTCTTGTAAATGGACTGTTGCTGACGTCAGCATGCTCAGTGTCTGCTCCATAGACAGGGTTGGTGGGTCAGGTGAGCATGTGCTTAGTCCTCACTCCTAGAAAAAACAGGCAGCTGATCCATGCTGTGGGGGCACAGCCACTCTGCATGGTACAAAAACGATTTTGCCCAGAGTTCTGCTTGAAACTATATGCGAAACCATACCTTGTAAAAAGGTTTAAAATAGAAATGCAAGGCAAAATGTTTTTGTATATACTGTATATATACATACACACACAAAACATTATATATACCTTTTGGTTTCTTTTTTCTTTATAAGTGATCACATGACCTCTGTTCTCAGCTGCATAAAATGGCTTAGAGAGATGGGGGTGGAGACTACAGGGGGTCAATGTCAACAGGAGGCAGAGAAACAGCAGTACACTGATCTTCCCATTGTCCAGGTGGTGTGTCAGCATGTCTCACCACTTTATTACAGGCTGAGCTCCAAAACAGAATGCAAAGAAGAAAACTGACCCCACTGGGATGGAGGTGCTTCCATGGCCTGGTGTGGTCAGCCTGAAGTAAGAAAGCAGCGGGACTGGCAGTAACACCAAGTACAAGGACATGGTAACACAGACACATATCAGGAATGCTGGGGTTACATACACTTTGCCTTCTAGTGTACGTAACCCCCATCAATGAAAGTCCCCCATTTATTCCCTTTTGGTCTGTTTAATATACCACTAAAAACATTTTGATGTATCTGATTGATAAGTACAAAAAAAAAACCACCCACTGATCCAACCAGAAATCCAGTGCTGCAGTTATCTCAAACATTGTAAAGAAGTGTGCTTGGACTACAGAACACCTTCTGTGTTTCAGAGATGGGGGGTGTACTGTAGTCCTGTCGCAACAATGCTTCTTCATAGATACAGTATGGTAAGTAAGGCCCCACGCACATGGGTATGCTCCAAATATGGTGCCAGAAGTTGGCAGAAAAAATGCCTCTGATTTTGCGTATTTTCATGCATTTTTGCATGTGTTCATTGTATATTTATGCACCTTTACAGGCATATGGTGTTTATAAGCTGAGAAAAAGTACTTTTTCTCAGACGTCTATGTGACATCTCAATATAGTTCCTTTAAAAAAAATCATCACTGTGCTGATTTCAGCTGGATCGCACTGCACACAGGCTGCAGCACTGCAGCTGGTGTGAACCAGCCCTAAGGGTCCATTTACACACCAATCTGTGTGTTAACTGTGCATTTCTGCATGTGCAATTATGTGTTTGCAGAGTGTTTACATGGGTTTACAGTGCATTTTCTGTGCGTTTTTTTGGAATACATTTATATTTTTTTTTTACTAAGTTGCATTTACACACATTTGCATGCATTCATGCACACTTGCAGTGCATATACACACATTTACGTGTGTTTTCAGTGCGTTCTGGTGCCGAAAAAAAAAATGCAGCATCCTGTACTTTTTTTTTAAAATGCATATGAAAGCGATGCAAAGGTGTAAACTAGGCTTTTTCATACATATGCGTTTCTACTGTGTTTTTGAGGTGTTTAAAATGCTGCTGACTGCCTCTGGTGTAAACCAGCCCTAAATAACATGCAGCTGCATTCATGGACATGGGAAAAAAAAATGAACACCTCTAACAGCGGCATTTGTTCTGCCCTTTTGAGCCCTAAGCATTGCCAGCCTAGGACAGGACGCGTGTTACCGGAAGGATCACCAGGTGAAAAAAGTGTCAATAGATTACATTTTTTAGTTCTTTCATTTGGATATTTCGTTGCCTTCCCTCCTTTGATCACAATAGCTGGTTTAAACTGGTTGGATTTGCGTGAAAATGATCGCCGATTTTAGAGGAGAAGTGGAGATCTGCACAGAACTTTAGCTGTCTGCATCTCTGGATGATTGTTTTGACGTGAAGGAAACCACATGGTTAGTTTGAATGTATGCTGATAATAAGGGTGACAGGCAGGAGCGGACTGACAACTCATGGGGCCCCGAGCAATAGGGGATCATGGGGCCCCTGTGTCCTTGCCCAAACTCAAAAAAGCCTATGAAAAAGGTACCAGGGGCATCTCATGGGGCCCCCTACTGACCCCGGCCCTTGGGCGGTGACCGAAATTCCAAATGGTCAGTCCACCCCTGGTGACAGGTTCACTTTAAACTGTAAAGGGAGGGGGGGGTGTCTGTGTTACCAAAACAGTCATTTCAATAGAATTCATCATATTTCTCTCCAGATTTCATTGTAAACGTTTGTTTGTACTCTCTTATGTTGATGTGTCCACACACAGGGAAATATCTGGTAAACAATTTCTCCCTGTTTATCTCAGTGACAGTAAATACCCCCCTGTTTACACAACACTACCAGTATGCCGTCCAGCCACCACTTGCAGCAATCTTTATTTTTTAAACAGAGTAAATCAACTAGTGAACTTTCATAACAACACAGCCATCCAACCAGTTTCTGCATAAATTGTGATTAGGAAACTGAGCAGGGCTTTCCCAATGCCCCTGGGCAGGACTGTTGTCTCTAGCCCATCATTCTATATTTCACTTTCCTCCTTGAACACAAAGTTAGATGTAGCAATTTGTAAATGATTTCAATAACGTTCAACAAGCTTCAACCCCTAATTCAGTAGGAAGGAATTGCAAGATCGAAGGTGACCTACCTTTATGTCTGATTGCCAAACTTGGACCAATTTATCATCTAATGCATCAAAAGAATAGAAATCAACTGAAATAGCAATCAACTGGATTTTCCAATGAGTTCTGTCAGAGCTTCTTCAATTCAGTTGCCCAGCAGTGAAAAAAAAAAAGTAGATTCTTACTTTGATACTCTTGTGATTTTGATTTCAAAATGAAATGAGTGAGAGTGCATTGACACTAAGGCTAGGTTCACATATGTGTGGGTGGTCCCGCTGCGGATCTGCAGGAAAATCCATGCAGCCGCACCACCCGCACAGAGGGATGTGGACCCATGGGCAGGTGCCATTAGTTCCCATGTGGGCTGCGTGAATGCAGCCCGCACAGGAACCTCAGTACAGTTGCGTTTACATTCCTTTACATTGTGCGGATGGGGCGGCTGCAACGGATTTTCATGCGGATCTGCAGCGGCACCACCCACACAGATGTGAACCTAGCCTTAGTGTCAATAGTCCCTTCTTCCCTGCGTGTCACGGGGCACGGGAGTCCATTCAAATGAATAGGCTCTTGTGCCCACGCAAAATGTTGCCCGCGCGGCCGCATATACGTGAACCAGGGCTAAAGCCAGCCATAGATGGTTTGAATTTCAGCTAGTTCAGCAGAAACCGACCGAGATTTAAACCATGTATGGGTAGGCTGAATATACCCAAGCTGATCGATCAATCAATTTTGGTACAACCAGCCTGTTGGATTTTACATGCGATTATTGCTAGTGGCTGTTAAAGTTGCTAGCAGTAATCACTGTGTTCTCCTGGCAGGAACGGATTTAGAAATGTAAGATAGATAACATATGGATGAGAGTAGGGACATCATAGTTACTTTTTATGGAATCGTTAATTTTATTGAATTGTAGTTCATTCACTGAGCGATTGAGTATTTTTAGCATGAATTGTAGTTCATTCACTGAGCGATTGAGTATTTTTAGCATGAATTGTAGGTCATTCACTGAGCGATTGAGTATTTTTAGCATGAATTGTAGGTCATTCACTGAGCGATTGAGTATTTTTAGCATGAATTGTAGGTCATTCACTGAGTGATTGAGTATTTTTAGCATGAATTGTAAGTCATTCACTGAGTGATTGAGTATTTTTAGCATGAATTGTAGGTCATTCACTGAGTGATTGAGTATTTTTAGCATGAATTGTGGTTCATTCACTGAGTGATTGAGTATTTTTAGCATGAATTGTAGTTCATTCACTGAGTGTGATTGAGTATTTTTAGCATGAATTGTAGTTCATTCACTGAGCGATTGAGTATTTTTAGCATGAATTATTTTTCACTGAGTGATTGAGTATTTTTAGCATGTGTAGTCATTCACTGAGCGATTGAGTATTTTTAGCATGAATTGTAGGTCATTCACTGAGTGATTGAGTATTTTTAGCATGAATTGTAGGTCATTCACTGAGTGATTGAGTATTTTTAGCATGAATTGTAGGTCATTCACTGAGTGATTGAGTATTTTTAGCATGAAATTGTAGTTCATTCACTGAGTGATTGAGTATTTTTAGCATGAATTGTAGGTCATTCACTGAGTGATTGAGTATTTTTAGCATGAATTGTGGTCATTCACTGAGCGATTGAGTATTTTTAGCATGAATTGTGGGTTCATTCACTGAGTGATTGAGTATTTTTAGCATGAATTGTAGGTCATTCACTGAGCGATTGAGTATTTTTAGCATGAATTGTAGGTCATTCACTGAGTGATTGAGTATTTTTAGCATGAATTGTGGTTCATTCACTGAGCGATTGAGTATTTTTAGCATGAATTGTAGTTCCTTCACTGAGCGATTGAGTATTTTTAGCATGAATTGTAGGTCATTCACTGAGCGATTGAGTATTTTTAGCATGAATTGTAGCGTCATTCACTGAGCGATTGAGTATTTTTAGCATCTCATCAGCATGTCGAAGATTTGATTGTAACAATCACTCATTATTCACACTAATGGTTTAGCCAACCTGTAGCTGTATAAAAAACAAATCACCGGCGACTATGCGTCACTAGCTACAAACTGTCAATAATCACTGGTATTAGTGATTTGTAGTGACGAGGAATCTCTGCTACAAAATCGCCCGTGTGACATCAGACTAATTGTCTCTAAAGTAGTTCCCTGAAAGATCTATCTTTGGCCTTGAATTTCTTCTGAAAAATAAGTGTGCTTCCTATGCCTAGGCGCTCTTAATCTGTAGCCTCATCGGATCGGATTGGAGGTAGACGCGTGTAAATGGACACAAGCATGGCTTTCTTACCCTCAGAGAGTTGTGCAGGAACTCCCATTTTCAGAGCCAGCCCCCTACCCACCTCCCAGTACCACCCCTTTCAGAGAATATATTAAGTAATTTGTATGGAATTTGTTAACAATAACAAGGAAAACAGTCAAATAGACCCCCTCTCCAGCAACTATAGACCCACCCACAACAATAGCCCCCCAGAAACAGTGGCTCCCCAGCAACAGTGTAATCTCATAGCAACAGTGGACCACCTGTAACAAAATACCCCCTCTCAGCAACAATAGACTAATGGTACCAGCAACAGTTCTCCTTGCAGCCAGTATCGATAGACCCCCTTCGTCAACAGTAGATCCCTTCCAGCCACAGTTGACCCCAGCAACAATAGATACACCACCAGCAACAATAGGCCTCCCCAGAAAATGTAGCCCCCCCCAAAATAGATCACTCCTGCGACAATAGACCCCCAGTTCACCACAGAACCCTTTGCTGTTAGATACATTCAGCGCTGGAGGTGCCGGAACTGTGTAGCAGGATAAATAGATGGGGTGAATCTCCCTAATGGGGGCATAGACAACAATAAAGACCTGGCAGGTGTTTTAATCCATCTCCACAATGTAAAAAAAAGTTTTTCCTTTAGTTACACATATGCGACCTCTCGGCAGGTAAACCTTAATGGCGAGAGGACGCATATATGCGTACCAAAATGTAAACATGGCACACTTACTGACGGATAACAGAAAGCTCCCGATCAGTACTTGCGATTGGACTCTCCAATCATGTGACCACTGTGACAGCCAGTCAATAGAATTTTTCATATCTGTGCATACTGAGTAATGTGTCAGTGTAACACATCCAGATATTATTTCTCTCACACAGATCACAGTACTCCCAATCAGTGTCAGGACAAGGTCATCTAGTGCCCAGGGCGAAGATGCCGAACATTGCCCCCCCAAATGTATGAGCCTTATGTGTCAGCAAAAATCTCCTTCCTCCCCTTAGAAAGTTCAAGCACTGGGGGGCTATAGAGGACCGTAGGATCGCAGCATCAGGGCTCCGCACTAAAGATGTCACTGGCCATCAGCTTGTGTGGTGTTTGCTTATCTACTCCCTACCCACAATCTTTGCTGGGAGGAGATGGAGGAGGATAAACAAGCACTGCACAGTGGCGATCTAGCAGTCCTGATCTAGGAGAGCTGCAGTGGCCGACAGAGGAGCTGGAGGGGAGAGAGAACACAACCTGTCCCTCCTCCCAGCTCTCTCCTCCTCTCCAGATGTTGCTTGTCTTCTCTAGAGCTAAGCTGACAGGAGTAGTGAAGCTGCTGTCACTACTCCTGTCAGCTTGTAGTTAGGAACTCTCCATGCGGTGCCCCTCCCCCGCACCTCATATGATACCACTGCGCCCAGGGTAGCCACCCACCCCTTGTCCCGGCCCTGCTCCCAATGATGGCTTCATCTGCTTACTTCTCCAGAAGAACATCATCCAGGGTCAACATCTATTTCCTGGACGGAGATACCAACTCAGAGATGACACAGTCATGTAAATCCCGGTTTCTCTTCAGTTCTTAGCTGGGTTTACAAATGTCTGACACAGATCAGCCCCTGTTGCAGCCTTTCATCTTGTGACTTACCCCTGGTACCACATATCTGCGTTTCTGCAGTTCGTGTTTTGCACAAGAGCCCAGTCATTTGAATGGACTCCCGTACCCCGAGGCATGCAGAGAAAAGTCCCTGCACGTCTTCTGAAAATGCAGCCCACACGGGAACCTCGGTTCCCAGTACAGTTGCGATTTCCAGTGCAGACGGCGTGCCATTAGAATTAATGGCACCTGCCCATGGGTCTGCATTCCCTCTGTGTGGGTGGTGCAGCCGGCTGCACGGATTTTTTTGTGTGGATCCGCAGCGGCACCACCCGCACATTTGTGAACCTAGCCTTACTACAAATTTACAATGTTGCAGTCTGATGACTGGGGGATTGAGACTGAGGAAATGCTTCCTCCTGCCTGCAGCAAATGGATAACATCATCTCAGTCTAGGCAAAGTCACTGATTGGAGATCCATGGCAACTTTTTTTTTAATGATAAAAAGGTAAAGCTTTTCTGAAAAATGATACTGTTACTGTGAAGTGAAATCTTGTGATATGAAATGTATTTATACTATTTAAATGTATTCATTGTGACTAATAGCTCATCTTTACGAAATGTAAGACAAAGCTTTTTGACCCACAGAGCTGTC